ATGGACAGTGGATGAAGTAGAATACCAGAAGAGAAGGTCACAAAAGATAACAGGGTATGTTGTGGTAGTTTTGTTCAGATGAGTTATTTGGTAATCCTGGAACCCCAGAATAGACTGGATACACATTACACATGCCAAACAAAGTGAACTTGTGAGGAGAAAATGCTAACAGCTATTCTGATGTCTCCTCAACAGTAAAACTGCTTTTATTCCATTTCTAGGCATAAGTAACATTTATTAACATTATCCTCCTTTTTTTTTTTTTACCATGAAACATTCACAAGACTAAACTGGTCTCTTCCATCCCTTTAGTTATTTTCTTATTTATTGCTAACAATTTTTCTTATGCCCAAATTTAAAAACCAGACTAAAACAAATCCCTTTCACTTCTACAATCCATGAATTCTGATTGATGTGCTCCCAATTCTCCAACATTTTGTGCCATCCTGTTTCTATGCCTATATTAACCGGGGAACTAGAGTAGGGCATTGTAAGAGTGATAAAAAAGGAGCTGCCATGCTATCCATATGCATTTGCCATCCTAAAATCACCTCTTTCCCTAAGTATGCACAAGAATACTTTATAAAAATATTTTATCAGTTACCTTCCATATTATTAAATTAATATGGTATGCTGTGATGGAGATTATATGTTGTGTTTACTGTAGTTTTCCAAATCATACAATGTTTCCAAGCTAAACTTTATTGTTTGGACCCTGCTTCTCCTTCACACCCATTTTATTATTGGTCTGTACAGCACTAGTAAGAGTGATAAAGATATAAGACAGAATGAGAGTATGACTGATTTATGACCAATCAGGAGGCCTTTTCTGGAACACAATACAGCCTATCATACTAGTTAAGAATAGAAGATAATTTATAACTCCATGTACCAGTTAATTCATCCTCAAAACCTTTATTGACTATTAAGTAAGGAGAGCTATAAATGTTTTCCTTATTATATAAGGCACCTAAACAGAAGAATTTTATATTTCTGTATTAAAGTATGTTAATTTCAGTGTTCTAGAAATAGTTAATTCATTATGTTGTCATTTAATTAACTATGGTAATTTATTATGTTAATTCATGGTGATCTAGAAATTAACCATTAATTATTCCCTGATTGCATCAAATTGGTAATTGTGTTATGTGTTTACTTTTTAAGTTTTTATATAAATGCAGAACTGTCATTGTTCTTGGAAGTGAACCACCCCCTCCCCGTGTTTGAAAATAGTTACAGAGAACCTTCAAATTTAATAGCCTTACCTTTGTCAACTCAGTGTCATCTAACCTATTACATTACTTCTATTCCTGTGCCATGTTGCCTTATTGAAGGCAGAGGTAGACAATTATAAATGAATCTGAACTGTCAGTTCAAACTATTTCTCTGATATAGACCAGTCTATTCCTGATTACTAGAGTGAGACTTCAAAATTCATTTTGTATTTTCACCTGAGGATTCTGACCTTCAAGTATAAAAATCTTATGTGATAGCTTAGGGAAAAATCAGAGGTGCCAATTTTCAAGTTTGACTAAAAAGGAATCATTTCTTTTCAGAAGTCCAACATTAGTGAAAAACATACCTACCAGTTTAGGCTATGGAGCAGCTCTTAATGCAAGTTTGCAGGTAATGGTTTTTTCAAATGTACCTTTTTCTAAATGGTTACATTGAAAGTATCATTTGTTATACTAAACTTTTTATGCATCTGTAGCTTGGAGGATAACTAGTCATTTTTGGATTTATATAGGAATTGTGGTAGTTCTCAATAGTTGGGGTTTATCATCCAAGTAAGTTGCATCACCTAGTACTGCAAGGAGCACCAGTTCTAATTCATGCTACTTTTGATGTGAAGAAGCAAGAAGGACACCCTGTGGCAAAATCTGGAATACTCGTTTTTCCTGCAAATGTTAGATTGATAGAAGCTTTTGCAAATGCATGTGGATCTGCATTAATATTTATCCAAGCCGTCATAAATGATTTCACATCATGGTGTTGGGGAACATGGTGCTTGTGGCAAAAACTTTAAAGTTTAATTATAATATATAATTTTTATGCAGAAGAGGCAAATGTCAGGACTTCTTTATTTTGAGTTAAGTTCTGGTCATTTTTTTGAAAAGTAGAGCAACTGCTTATGTTACCTTAGAGCATTCACCAAGTGAAAGGGCACAACATGTCATTTTGTTGAAGGGTAAAGTATGATTAATCAAATTTGCAGTACAAAACACTGTTTATATTTCTTAACATACTAATACCTTAGTCCATGTACCATATCAAATGTTTCCAAAATATATGCTCTGTAATTTGAGCCATTTAAAGAAAAGATGTATGTCTGTATGTACATGTTGTGTGTGTATATGGTTTTGAAAGCAACTTCAGAAAGTTACATACTGTGTCTCTTTTACTCTCTTAGGCTGCCCTGGCAGAGAGTAGTTTACCTTTGCTTAGTAACCCAGGACTGATAAATAACGCATCCAGTGGTTTACTGCAGGCAGTCCACGAAGACCTCAATGGGTCGTTGGATCACATTGACAGTAACGGAAACAGCAGTCCGGGCTGCTCTCCCCAGCCTCACATGTAAGTTTGGTTAGCAAAGTTCCTCTGGGCAAGAACCCAGCCTAGTTTCTTACTGTTCAGAGGAGTGTTAAGTAAGTCAAAGTTCTAATTACACCCTGCTTAGTATGATAAATGTGTTAAAATTAACTATCAGATTCTCATATGCCTTATAATTATTTTGTACAGTCTTCCTCAATTCTGCTGTTGACCTCTGTACAAAATCTTTTATATCTTATCTAAGATGTGTCTAGATCTTATGGGTCATTATCACAGCTTGGTTTTGTGTGGTGCAATAAGAGCATTCATGTTGGAATATGTCACAATTTTTACTATGATTACAGGTCTCTAAACCATTTATGAACTGTAGTTGAGACAGTATCCGTTTTTATAAACCATAAAATGCAAAGTTTAACTGTTAGCCACAGTTTACATAGAAGCTAGTAAAGTGTAACTTTTTGCCTGTCTTATAAATCAGTGTAATTACATATTCAACTTTAATTACTGGTGCGTCTGTATTGGCAAGGTTTATATGTTATATTTTATGCAAGACTACGATTCCTATTAATATTTAGCAGCTAACTATATCATTAATTACTTTAAAGTCTTTCCCCTACCATCTTTTTAATGGAGCTGAGAGAGTGAAAATATTAAAAATTGATGTTTTGTGGATTTCAGAAATGTGTATAAAGCTTTAAGAATGCCCAGATTTAGTCAATTGTGTCAAATACATTAATTTCTTGTTTACCAAGTAGCAAAAACACCCAACTTGGTATTTTATATTTTAAAAATAGAATTTAAGTGGTAAAGTGCTCATCATATGGAGTTAAGTTCCATTTAGAACAATTTGTACTTGTTTATAGCTTCTTAGAGTTAATCACCACATCCTTATACTATCACATTCCTCCTTATTTCCTTCTTCCCAGTCTCTCAATTTAAATATATATGTATAAAAAGATGAGTCCACTTCCATTGGACCTTTAGGGACATTTTTTTGTTGACTTTCTTGCATTTCGTTCTCCATGACCCATTATGTCTCTAAGATCATGTACCTAATTGCTTTATAGCACTTTTACTCGATCACCTTTGCAAAAAATGGGCTGTGAACATTAATGTGTTTTATCAGGTTCCAAACCATTACTTTTTTAAAATGGAAAAATTTGTCTTTTGGAAGTGTCTTTAGATGCATTAAATAATACAAAAGAAGTAATAAAACTTGAAGTAGAAAGAACATGAATATATGCTCTTGAGAGTAGCAGTACTCTAAAACAAGTAAAGTGAGCAATCAGACAAAAGTTTTTATATCCTGTGCTTGAGGCCTTTTACTTTTAGCAGATCCCCTGAGTATGCTAATGCTCTCTCCCAGTATAAAATGCCAAGACAAAACTTTAAAGAGCAAACAAGAGTTACATCCTGCCTTATTTTTTAAGTAATTCTATAGAAATGAGTGACATTCACAATAAAGGCTATTGAGTGTAGATGTTTATATAACAGGTAGCATTTCTAATAGACTACCTATATAGCACCTTATAGATTAATTTTTGAAATAACTGCACATATAGTTGACCAGTGCTAAGAAAACTAATCTGCATAGTTATAGTTTTAAAAACTAATGATTCAAATAATTTATTAAATTTATTTTAGTGCCTAAAATGCTAACTTTGCTAAATTATGTCATTTTTATTTTTCAATATTATTTCCATTAAGAAATTACTAATTCAGAATTTTTATTTGACCATTAATTTGATTAGTTTTATTGTGACTATTACCACAAAGAAATAACTTCTTGTACATTATATTTTTGGAACACAAGAATATATTTAATGCCTGGTGGTATCAGCTCTTAATTTAGTGAATTCTATTAAGTATGGTCAATATACATCAAGGGGTAAGTTTGGTATAGAGGAGAGAGGCTGGCTTTCAAGTCACAAAGACCTAGGTTCTCAAGGCTAGTTTCTGACGTGCATTAAGTTATGTGACTGTGGGCAAGCCAGTGTGCCAATTCTATGAGAATAAAAGTTACAGAACCATTGCCTATTTGCATGCACTGATAGAGGGACTTTTGTCACTCAGATTTGTTCACCACGATACTCATAGGTTGAGCTATCTTTTCCCTTTTCATTTCCTAGCCCTCATGTAGACTATGGTGTTGGAACATTTCCTACTCCTTTAAACTAGAACACATGAAATGTACTTTATTTCCTATCTTTCCCAAATACTATTCTTTCCTTTCCCACCTCCACCATGGGGCAAATTCAATAAAATCTTCAACAAGTTTAGGGGAAAGAACTATAAAGAAAAATATTTTGAATAACAAATCTTAAATTTTTCCATGTGACTTACAAATTAATTTTATACAGGGTGTTATATAGCTATATCAAGTATACAACCTATAGCTATAATACCATCAACTATCAACACACAAAAAATCCAGTCATTCTTTAGACATCATTGTGTTACTACTATAGATTTTGGATATTCTAAGTAATATTATGAGATATAAGGGATCTTTAGCACATTAATACTAATATTTTCATCTTTGTAGATATTTAACAGACGTTTCTAGTTAAACTTCACAATTCCTTTTTGCCTGTAGGTAGCTAAAAGAATTCTAGAACACCTGAAAATTCAACAAGCTTATGGAAAATTGGGGGAGACTTTCCCCTTAAACACTTTCACATCCATAAAAATTGGCTACATTCAAGTTTGGGTTGTGGAAGTGTAGTCTAACAGAATTGTGAATATTATATAAATATTTAACATAAATAATACTTTAAATTTTAAAATATATTTATCATTATTATTCACATGATACTGGTGTAGTTATATATAAAATTGTGATTGCCAGATAAATGGAGAGGCAATGTTAAAATGTAATAAATAAAGTTAAATCTAATATATACAGGTCAGGATTGGAAGGTTGTTAGAGAAGGAAAGAATGATTGCTTAAAGCAAAAAATGCCAAGGATACCACAGCTGCTCTCTGCAGTTCTAGATTCAAGACTCCATGATTTACAATTTTAAGTATGGCTTCTCCTAAGTACCAGCATGACTTTGGTCAAGTTACTTAGCCTCTTTGGGCCCTCATCTTCCTCATCCCAGGAAGCTGGGCTAGATCTGAGGGCTCTTACAACTTCAGATCTACAATCCAATGAACCCAATACAATTTAGTGTTAAGTCACTTATTGTCTTACATAATCAAGTATGTTTTTTTTGTTTCATTTTGACCCTCAATGAATTCAGATCAGTCCTCATCTTCAGGAAATCTACTGTTACCATGAAAAACTTAACATACTTGATCTTTAAGAGAGATTTTTAAATAGAAGAGAAAGAATATGGTTGCATTGCTATAAAATCAGAACAGAAGAGAAAAATATAGAGCCCACAGTCATAGAGCCCAGTAGCTGCAATACTGTAGACATAGCAAGCTTGATCCTCTATATGATTGATTCTTTTCTGGATTAATGTAGATACTGATCTATACCATCTCATCCTCTAAGACTGTCTATTTCATCTCATAAATCCTTGATAAAGTGTCTACTCAAGTTACAAGAGACTTTCTTTAGATCTTCTGAGATTTCATGGGTACCACTGGAGCACAAAGGCTATCCATCTGTTATTGCTTACTCTTCTACATGACAAACTAGATATAGTATTAAAGATATCAGAAAAATGTGATCAGAAAAACATGTGGGCTCTATAACATTGCTATCATATATGTACAGCCCCTATGTTATTACTCGAATAACTCAGGAATTTTAACTGAGTGCAAAGTAGATCTAAATTAGTGGAAATTAACATTTATCAGGTGTTTTAGAAGAAATGTTTTATTAGTTTAGGTTCCCACAGGGGCTTGTGTAAATTATTTTAAAAATATTTTTCTAAACAGAATTTCGATTGGGACTACTTTAAGAAACAGTCAAGAATCATTTATTATTAAATCTTAACAGTACTTACAGTTAATCATTAACTGTATCCATTGTCATATACAGACTGTGAAGTGCTTTAAAAACTATTGTCATAAGTAATATTACCATGCCCCTTACAATCTTGTTTACACTTGCAATAATTTTTAGCAAACTTCTTATATAGTGATAGTATAAAAGAAAAATTCTTCTTTGAAAGATTAAAGATTTTTTTCAGTTAATATTACATTGCATAAATGGGTCACCCTTCCACACCTTTTACTAAAAACCACATTATGAATTGTTGCAGGCAAGAAAATGCTATCATATCCTGTACCAATCTTCTAGTAACGAGTTAAATCATCACAAATTATGAATTATAAATAAATATAGATCTACTACAGGTTCAAAATATTTAAGATGCCTAAGTCATCAGAAGGAAGTAAATATTTAAACATTTAGATTAGAGAAAAAAAGGAAGAGCTTTTTAAATTTTAGTCTTATTAATTCTCAAATGATGACATTATATGTATGTTAAGTTACAAGAGTTTGGGAGGGATGATAGGAAATGTTACAGAAAATACGTTTGAGTACTCACGTGTCTTGGGGGGATAAAAGGAGCCATTGTAAGAACACACTGGTGGAGGCAGGGGGTGAGGGTGGGGACAGGGGAGATCATCCATGGTGCTTATTGCTGTTCTAATTCTACTCTCTTATCCATCATGTTTTGCTATTACCTCATGCAGACCACCTGCTCCAAACTGGTTCATTCCTCTCTCCTCAAACATGCCCTTCACATTTTCATCTGGAAAATTCATCTTGGCTAGAATGTTCTCCTTCCTTTTCACTAACCTAAATCTAACCTTTCCTTCAGGCCTCCTCAGTCCTGCATGTGGCCTTACTCTGTCCACTCATTGAATATATATTTACTTCTGGGCAACAGATATGGTAGAAACATAAAGAAAACTACTAAACATGATGCTAAGTTTTACCAAGAAGCTAAAAGAAACAAAATGTTGTTTCTTTTTATTAAATAACTATAATGGAAGAATACATTACTTAAATTATATTTAACCTATTAAGAAATGGCATGAGTAATGGGTTTAGAGTGCTAGATCT